AAATGCATGACGTGATTTGTGTATTTATGGATGGTTTACTTAATGTAACATATGTTTCCTCATATTCATACCAAATTTATTTTCAAAAATATCTGGTTTTCTAGTATTATTTATTAATAATACCTTACAAATGGTAGTGATTTTACATTTATGTCAATCTGGTCCCAGATATTATGTTTCAAAGAGATAACATTTTTAGATATGTTTTTTTGGTTTAATTTTAATTAATTTGCTAAAATTATGTTTTGTTTAATTTCGATTTCAACTATAAACATTAAACAACATTATTCTTATTTATGAAATTCTAACATATAGGTTACTTTAGTGGTTTTTTTCAATGACCCTCAATTTTTTAATTTTTATATTTAGTAATGAGAGAAAAAATTTTATAATAGGCGTCGAAATCGCTTTCGGGTTCATCATTTACCACTAAGCAAAGCCACCAAAAAAGTAGCAAATGACCTGTATGATTCATATATAAAAAATTCATAAAATTTCTTTAGTAATTAGTATGTGTATACTGTATAACACCGTTAGTGGTATCTGTTTTCTGACCGCGTATAAGTATATGACCATCATCTTATATTATCTATGACAATTAGTGATTACTAACACTCTACAAGACACCCCAGTTCTGCTTCGACGTTTCGAACCGAAACGTAGAAGGTCTGTATGTATGATTTGGAAAGAGGTGGCAACAGGTGTAACTCACCTGATTGTTTTCTCGCGGGCCTTTGGTGCATCAAACAATAATTCAGACACGAGACACTTGTTGATAATACCGCAGCGACCACGGCGCGGCTTATTCGTGAAAACCAAAACATTAATTAGCGATCTTGTCGATCGTTTGTTAACTGGAGAAATTAACTCGAAGTTATACGGGCCCCTATGACCCTAGGACATTTTACAAGTTAGATTGACGAAATCAAAATTATGGCTAAGAATAATGGTTTAAAGTTTTATATATTTTGGTGAAATTTCTATTTTCGTATAGGCAATGAATACTGACTCAAGTAGTTGCTTAATCGAACATCTATTGGAAAATGAATTTCATTTAAAAAATGTCTATGAAAAATTAACAATCATAAAAAATGATAGACCATGTCCTGAAATTGCAAAATTGACAATTTCTCATAAAGAAAAAAACAAAGTTAACATTCGACATTTTAATATTTCTAATTATGAATTCCATGATTGACTGGTTGTGCTAAACTAAATATACTTTTATGTTGGTCTTGTGTTTTAGTCGCCAGGGAAAAAATGTTTGGTCTCAATGGTTTTGTTAATTTAAATAATTTAAAAACATGAAATATCTTAAACATTTCTTCGGTTATCAAATTAAAAATATTCGGAAAAACTAGAATTGATTTGCAGCTTGATGAACTGAGACGTTCTGATGTAATACGCCACAATGAATTAGTATAAAAAAAATAGTATTGTTTTAAAACGTCTCATGAATTGTGTTTTTTTTTTTTTTTGGCAATCCGTGAATTACCATTTTGTGCGCACGATAAAAGAGTTACTTCTTTAAATCCGGGTTATTTTCTTGGTTGTTTCAATTTATTATCATTTAGAAACATCAAAAATACTCCGTGGTACATCAAATAGAATCCCAAATGATCTTATTTTCTCAATTAGCAACATCACATCAAATGTATAAGTATTATCGTATATTGATATTATATAAATAAAATTAATAGACTTGTATATGTAGAAAAATTTGCATACGGCAGCAAAATAAATGAAATTATACTTTTCCAAATTTCTAATTTATTATTAGTATTGTATTGTAACGTAACGTCATTTTTCATTTTAATTTAGGCCCCTGACTATTACTCCTTTAATATTAACCGTTTTACAAAATGCTATTACTATATATAATTGTTGAAAAAAAGATGTTTCCGCCTTTCCGATATTAATATCAATTATCATTATACACATGTCATATTGACATATTTTAATATTACGAACTATCTTCTTTACTATTTATAAATATTGTATTGTAAACACATTTTGAAATATTATTATTTATTTGAAATATCATGTAAAAATGTAAAATACAGTCACTTGATTATTTAATATTTATAAGGTGGTTACTATCCCCGGGTGACGTTCAGGATTTGTTGTGCTGCCCCTCTGATGTCCCGCCCAGCGAGAACGACCGGCTACAGGCTGCCTCCCAACGCGCCACTCTGCACTCAGTCCTTTTAACGATATGGTCGACATTTTAAACTGTAAGGAGCATGATGAAAGGATAGCTGAGACCGATCGAAGAGTGAATGCATTGGCAGCCGCCCCAACTGACTGAGGACGCGAAGATGCACTCGACAGCCGCGGACCGCGATTACCGACGGACTTAATTTACTTATTGTATTGTATTTATTGTATTAATATTTTTATTTTTAAGGTGAAACAACCATAATTTATTTGTGCATTAAGTATGTGTATGTATTAGGGTTTTTATTAAACATTAATAAACGATGGCTCTGCAGAGGAGTAGTAGTGTTCAAACAGATCCTCCTCTGCTGTCGGTTTAAACGAAAAAAAAAATAAAAAGGTATTTGCGATATCCTCGCAATTTTCTTATTTTTTTCTTCCATAAGAACCTTTTTCTGACAATAACCATAGACATATTAGTAATTTTTTTAATATGTCTATGACAAAAACAAATACAACAAAAAAAAGAATTATAAGGTTAATAAGGTTAATAATAGCGAAATCAGCCCCGCCATTCAAGCGTGATGCCGTGACTAAGAGAAATAGGGATTAAAATACTGAAATATATTTGGGATGGGCCATCCTAAATACCTAAGGGTTTAAAAAATAGAGTATGACCTATTCTCAAACCTATCGAATATACACAAACAATTTCATGAAAATAGGTCAAGCCATTTCGGAGGAGTTGAATAACAAAAAAGCGGGTACAATCAACTATTATCTTATTTATTAACTTTATCACTAATTTCGTGTCTATGCAGTAGTTGATTCATCGATAAATTGATTGTAGATATTATTTGGATAAACTCGTTTTTATGGTTTGATACATTCATGGTCCTAATTTTATACAAATAAAAACTATAAATATAATTATATACAAATATTCGATTGAAAATAATAAAAATAAATACTCTTAAAATACTGATGAAGACGAGAACTTGTACCAAGTGTCATATTTGTCAACTATATGTCTATATATTAAAAAATTACGAGGGGGGGAGGTGGGCATTTGTCCCTGTCTGATTTAAAAAACAGTCCAATGGACCAGTGCCGGGTTTTTGCCATTTAATCATTTTATCAGCACAAAAACATGCCTATTTTTAAAACATTTTCAAAAAATATTATACCGTGTACTAAGAAATTATTGTAAGAATCATGCATTAATAATTAATATTGATAGTTGGAATATATTTATATTTAGACACATACGGGGACGCCCGGAAGTGTATGTATCATGTATGTATGTTTGTAGAAGTGTGTGTGTGTTGTTTTGTGAAGGAAAAGAACATAATATCGTATGCATAATAACAATAATAATTAGTTAATGTCATAACTCCGTATAGTTTTATTTCTAAAATCTAAAATTAGTACAAATTTTAAAAACAACTACCGATTGGCACTCTTATTTATCATTGATCTCAGACTAAGACTTCCACTTCAGTTAACTTGCGACAGTCGTGTTCGTGTATTGTAAACTCGTAGACTCTTTTGTGTTATGTTAATTTAGTTGAGTATCTTATTCTAGTATTCTACCTTTATTAAAATTTAATTTTTCATGACGTATGTTCACATTAATATTTTAATATGGACAAAGTATGTCTTAATATAAAATAAATGGGTGAGGCTAAAATCAGACGGGCTAAAAAAATAAAATTACTGCAAATAGCTTAAGGATCGAAAACAATTTCTGATATGTTCGATAAACAAACGAAACTTGAACCATTGCTTACTTGGCAATAAAAAATTACTGTCATAATAGTTTACAGAGTTTTAATTGGCACCTATAGACTAGGTACAATTACCTATACTTGACCTATACAATTGTTTTCATAAAATATCTGCTTCTTTATATTTGCAAATTATGTTGTTACCCAGTAAAAAGGGTTGTAACAATATGACAAAAAAATATTAAAATTATTAAATAAATTCAGTGGTAATGGCACATGTAATAAGGTAAATAGATATTTTTTTGTCAGCGGAGGGAGCGGTTTTATTTTACTCTTTTGGGTCGGTCAAAACCTTTGCCCCCTTCTATTGAAAACTGCAATGACGCCACTGGGTGGTTTGACATCCCCGACCACCTCAAAGGACGACCCTCAACAAGAAGTGACACAGCTTATACTAAGTAGTAGTTATATAACTTATATAACTACTATATATATATACTTATATAATATAAGGTCTATGAGTAGGTACAGTACATAGAAACAGAGTACAAGCATGAATATTTGAAATGAACCCTCTTTTGATTCTAATTTCTAATCCCTTGTATAATTACTTATTCCCAGAATCCCAGAAACATAAAAAAATTCCCAGAGTAGTAGAGTTACCTAGTTAACTTATTTTATAGTGCTATAAGTAATACTTGTTCAGAATGTTTCGAGAACTTTCACACTATCACACTGTTGTATACTTAACTATATAAGTAATACTTATATAGCGATTAGCGGCTATAGCCTGCTCCAAAATATGCTGTCCAGTGCAATTTTCCCCTTTGACCCGTCTTGGTTAAATACGCCACTACCGATCATGGGGTCGTGGGGTCAAAACATCCAAAGGTAGGCTCATCCTACACTTTGACGTCATCACTGGCCAGGGACGAGTGTAAGAGACGATCGTAATTTTAATTAGCTTATTACTAAGACGTAAGGCCCCGTAATTTATATAAACAAAAAACAATTAACAAATTAACAGTTCGCACCGCCATCGACAGTCGTTCACTCGTTCGTGAGACAAAGGCGAGAGCGCGTCCGATGCGTGGGTCGTGCGGGCAAGCAGTGTGTAGTAGTTGATAACGTAGTCCGGAAGGGTTGTTTGAAAGGGCGCCAAAACGTTGCTCATGGAAAGGCGTACTTAAAGTTTTTCTTTTTGTTCGTTTAATACTTTATTGATTATACGAAATCAACGCAGCCATCTTGTATCTCGTTTTTTCAATTTCCCGTAACAATCGCAGCGGCGGTCTCGGTCTCTCGGACGTGTGTCGTCACGTCCACGGAGGAGTGGCATTGAGGATAAACTCGACTACCATATTAACAAGGAAGTAACGAGACAGACAGACGACAACGACGATGACTTCCACGTTCCGTTCGAGCGACATTCTCCAGCAAATGGACTTCGCCATGATTGGCACCCACTTCGCCTCCGGCCCGCTGCAAATTGACCAGGATTTTGCGGGCATCAGTGGCGTACACTTCAACGGCAGTGGGTCGCAGCAACAGTACGCCAACGACGGAGAGGTGACGTTGCAGCCCAACGGCATGCCGCCGTCGTGGCAGAGTATCGCTGCGCCTGGGTCGACCGTGGCCGATTACCTGTCTCATTTGCCGGCCACCCTCACCCTGCACCACTTCCTCAAATACTCTGGAGAGGCCGTCTGCAAGGACGCTCGCGACGAGACAAAACCCCCTAAGAAGAGGAAAAAACAAGGCAGACAAGTGAACGCCTCGGCAGCCGCTGCAGCAGCATCCAGTGACCGTTGTCCGTCTACGACGACGACGACGCCGTCGTCGTCGTCTCCATCTCAGGTCAAGCCGAAGCCCGGCCAAATACGAATAACGAGCTGTGCGGACGGTACTACCATGTTCGGATGCCCGGAATGCCGTGCCGAGTACTTAGACAAGCATTTGCTGGAGGAACACCTGGGCACGCACGCGACGGAACGGCGGTTTGTGTGCGACATCTGTGGAGCGGGGTTGAAGCGCAAGGACCACTTGACGAGACACAGACAGAGTCACAGTTCTGAAAGGCCGTACGCCTGTACGGTGTGCGGCAAAGCGTTCAAGCGCAAGGAGCAACTGACCCTGCACAAGGTGGTGCACACAGGTGAGAAGCGGCATGCTTGTATAGAGTGTGGCCGTGCATTTTACAGGAAAGATCACTTGAGGAAGCACGCTAGGAGTCACGCTGCCAGGAGGGATAAAAGCGGTGGACAGACGTGCTAGTCAAACAAATAACAAGAAGGAAAACGAGTTTAAAACGAAGATTTACCAATTTGTTGTATATTTCATTCATTTTCATCCATGTACATATTACAATATAATATCATGTATATTATGTATATTTTATATATATTATATTCAACTCTTGCAACTACTGTCGCTTATAAACTAATATTAAAATATTATACGCGAGTGCATTATATATCACCAACATTATAATATTAAATATACCATTACCAAATTATTGTGAATTTGTAAATATTATGTATCATGTTATTAGTAATTATCAATGTTTTCCTTAATATTAAACATCTGTGTTATAAAAACAATGAAACTACTTTCATTAGCAGTAATTATTATATTTTACCAGATAACATAATATAGAAATAATGAATTAATCATAAATTTAATGATGTATAGTATATTATCATTATTTAAACAAACTTTTAATATTTAAATTTTAAACTGTTGAAACTTTGAAAGATAAAATAATATTTGAATGTACAGTATTGTTTTCATATTCATTTTTGGATGTACTGTTTGGATTGTACAAGTTCAAAAATATAAATGTGTTAATTAAACATTCACTATTTTTTTCCACCCCAACCCCACAGACCTTTCACAAAACCGGAAATCCCTTCTTTATTAGCCGGGTCAGAAACTGGTTGTTGTTTCTTGAACACTGGTAGTTTAACAAAGTTTAACGCAACATCAAAGAACAAAGGCTTGCACGGTATTTCTTCCATTTCAGGTGGCACTTTGATGACATTTGGATCTTTACCCAATATACTAGAATCTTCATAGTATTCATCCAAACGTTTTGTTAAAGGCATCTAAAATAAATTAACATTTAAAATAAAATTGAAGTTGAACAGTAAATTATATATGCTAAGATACTACCTTTTGCAGTTTAGCATTTTTCAAACTATCCAATTCTTCCTCATTATCTTGTTCGAGAACACTTTGAGCATGAGCGCAGTATTTAGAAGACTCGATGGTGTTCACCAAGTTACTCAATCGCGTCTTCAAATCATCATCAACTTGATTAATAGCGGAAGATATGTGAAGCAATGCTCGTTCATACATGGCCATTGTATCCCTCCAACGATGCAGAGTACTCAAACTCTGACCAATATAATAACATCTAAAAAAAATCATTTAGAGTAAGATAAGAAAGAATGTATAGAATATTACCACAGTGAAATATTTTTAATGTACCTAAATGCCTTGTAAGCTTTAGCTTTAATGATCAATTTTTCTTGGAAATCTGTGTCATCTTCCAAACCAGGCAATTGTTGTTCTTCCAAAATATTTTGTATCAATATCTCATATAATCTAGTTACATCTTGAAGCTTCTTACTCCCCTATATTAAAATAATAAAAAGGATATCATCGAAAAGAATATAAAGTTATTATTATAGTATCAATAAAAATTATTTTAAAACACCAAATTTAACTTACAATAGTTCCCTGTTTGCCATCATTTTCCAGTGCACTTTCAATTAACAACAAATTACGTTGTATTGATCTTTCCAAACGAATGAATGACAAATAAGTATGTAGATACTGTAATGATGACGCTGAAGAAGTTGAAGAACCGTCCATTTTCTGCAATCAAAATGTATATTAATCAATTCAAATCTATAAACACAAATTTAAAATAACTTTAAATAACCGACCTGTTCAGTTTTAATGTCATCTCTTATTGCTAGCATAGCATCTTTACAGTCCATCAAATGTTGTTCCAATGAATCACTCTTTTCAGCTAATGTAGTGCATTTGTCCAACAAACTATTAAAATCACGGTTTGCTAATAAGAAAGTCCTTACGCGAGAATTTTTTACGGGCACTGTACGATTTCTCCAAGTCACTTCACTTAATGAGTCTCTTGTTTGAGCCATCAAAGTCTATATAAATAAATAATATATTAAAGTAACGATGATATTCTCTATTTTACTAATAAAATTCACTAACATCTAATGTCACTAATAAATCCCCTTGTGCTTGATTACGCAAGTGTAATAGTTGATTGACATCTGTCTCATTTCCAATGTTATACGCACAGAAACGCAAACTTGGTTCCAATTCTTCATAGCGATTTCTATACAAAATAGCATCTTCTTCGTTTAGAGCGGATGCTAATTTTTCATAAATCATTCTAAAAAAAAATTTATATTAATATCAAAATTAGTAATATTTTATGTAAAAAATTATAATTTTAAAATTTCACATACAATAATTATTGGATGTATAACTGAAATCACATTATGTCTAATTACATGAAAATATTTAATGATTTGTAAAAAGTAATAGTTTCATACAAATTTCAATAACAAAACAAGTAAAAATTAGACATTTTAACTTACTGAGCTTTCTTTAAGTTTTCTATAGCTGGCTTCCATTCTTGAAGTTCAAATTGCAACATTCCTTCACACCAAGCTACATAAGCTTGAGTTTCTAGTTGAGTACGGGCATCAAATTTTTCAGACTGAAATGTTTTTATTTTTATTAAACCCAATTTATTAAGAATAAAATATATAACAAATGAAGGTTAAAACTGTGAAAATATCTAATATTATTTTAGTATAGTAAACGTAATAATATAAAATACATTTCATATTTTTTAACTCTTTGTATACATATTTTTGGGAGATGATAATATAAAAATATTGATCCAGATTTTATTGGATTGAAATATTGAATCAAGACTTATAGAATCTAGGAATACTAATAAGCATTTATAGGATAAATAATATTTACATAATTAAAGAAAAATTATATTTTTTTACTAAATACAGATTCACAGGTATACTTCAAAATGTTAACTCTTCAGGTAAATTTCTAATTGGAGAGATGAATGTATTTTTTTTAGCAGGAAAGTTAACTATACACTGTCTAACGAAAGAACAAGCTTAATCTATGTCTCTCCTTGCCATCAAAACAGGTTCTGCAATTTTCATCAATTTATGGAGTTTTCTTTTGCTGCACAGAGAAGAATTGGCACTTTAAGGGGTCAAAAGTAAAAAAATATCAAGTACTTTTCTTAATAATTGGGAGAAACCAAAAACATATACTATTAAAATATAAAAATAAATGAGATGTTTTCATAAAAAATTAAATGAATCAAACCTAGGCTGAAAGCATAATTTAACAAATTAAAATGAAGGAACATTATGATAACCATTTGAAATTGCTCCAATTCTGTCAGATTTAAGTCAAAATTATATAGGATAACCTCAAAAATAACCTATTCAACTACGGTATCAATAATAAATACTGAAATAAAACTAGTTTTACTGTGTAAAGTGTTCAATATTTAAAATATTCCTAAAAATGTGTATTTGAGTCCTAGAACTTATACCAGGGGTCTTCAACTTGCGGCCCACCCTGTCATAATATGGGGTTCGTGATCACATTTGAAATTTAGCATGTATATTTTTTTATTCCGACAAAATTTTAGTGGCTAAGCCATCGCAATCAGAAATATGCTATCTATATATGTTTTAATAATAATGATAATTTTTTATTTAAAATGTAATCATAAAAATTGTAATAATAAAATTGAATTGTTGTATAAAATAAATTTTTTTACTACGAATGCGGCTCGCAAGATTATTAAAAAATATACTTAGCTTGCTGCATAAGAAGGTTGCCTGGCCCATGAAGTTGGGTCGTGCAGTCATGGCAACTTGTGTAGTATATGTGTTAATTTTTAATTATATACAGTTTATCGTATCATCTAACTTTATAAGGTGGGGCCCATTTAGGAAAAATATTAAACCTTGGTGACCCACAACACTAAAGATATTTTATTTTTATTGTTGATCGTTATCTAGATTTTAGTTTAACAGAGTTGAGGGGACATGTTACTCTGGTACAGTCGTAATAATTGCAAAGGTTGAGTGATGAAACTAAGATTAAATATAAGTAATAAATTAATAAAATAGTTGCATGGTAAATACTGATCATAATTATTTTACTCATATTTATAAAAAAAAAAAAAAATAGAACTTTCCTGTCTTTATGTATATATTTTATGGCAATCTAATATTAAATATTTTATATTTAAAAACAATTTACTATACCCACCAAAAATAAAATTGGAGTCCACAAGGAAAACTTCTGCAATAGCCTATCAATAAATTTAGGGTTAGCATTATTTAGGGTTGTTACATTATTTTACCTCACAAAGCCTTTGAAGTTGTATTGCATAGCTAGCAGCTTTTCTTAATCTAGATACCAAATGAAATTTTTTTCTTGGTTCTGTATTAGCTTCAACTCTCAGTTGCATTGCGTAACTCCATGCTCTTTCGGCCAACATCAATGGTATGTAAACAGCTCTAAAGTATACACATTGTAACTAATAAGCAATTGATTATTTTAAGGATTTCAATTTTTTAACCTTTCATCAGTCAGATTAGTTTCTGTAACATTTTTCTTACGAAAATGTCTTCGATCTCCCTGTTGTAAATGCATAACTTTTCGTAAACGTCTGATACGCCGGGTGCAATAACCTCTACAAATTAAAAATGAATAGTTAAGTATTTTTTAAAAACTAAAAAGTTATTACTATTTAACATTTACCTATATCTCTGATAATCATTGTGCCTTAAGCCATGCTGCTGTTGGGCTTCTTTAATAATCTTTAATACTGTTAGAATATTATTAAGGAATATTTTAATTTAAACATAAGTAGGAACTTCTTTTTTTAATCTTAAATTTCATTAAACTTAAGTTACTTAACATTTATTTAATAGATATGGGTTCAATATATTTTACAGATGGTATAGAATACAACCAAACAGAAACATATCCTACAAACAGTTTTAGTTCTGTAACCAAATATGTTTTAAATCATACATAAGTTAACATAAAATACAATTAATAGTGTATGGTGAGGCACTGTGGAAGCGATAGAAGACCTGGAAACTTTCAAAAAAGCCAAAAAAAAGAAAAGTATTAGTAAACAAAGTGTTTGAAAATTATATTACCTACAATAAAATTAATTTGTAAATTAAATTAGTAAAGCATTATACATAAAATCTTTTGCACAAGTTATCATTATTTTTTTTTTTTGTGATAGATTACCGATAAGATGATATCCGTTTTATTATTATTCGTGCCCATATACCAGGGGTGCACAACTGGCGGTCCGCG